ATCTTCAAATGGTAGACATATATTTGGGAGTCAATCATGTAGAGGTGAAAGTCTGGAAATTAAAAGGCACTTGATTAGAATACTACAAGCAGAAAAAGAATTTCAAGGGCACAGCCTTGAAGAATACATACATGTTTAGGATGGGAAGAAAAAACAAAATAGGTGAAGAGTTTTTAAGGTCGTTAGGAGGGTGAAGCCAAATCTAAGAAAATCTAGTGTGGAGGAATTCACAGAAAGGTGGCCAAGCATTTTGAAATGGACCAGGGACTGTTTCATTTTCGTATTTATAGCACCCAGTAGAGCTCAAAAATAAGTATTCAGTACATACCTTTTGAATAAAATCTTTGCGAAAGTGAACTTAATGAAACTCTTAGTATCTAAACATTGCAAGGAGCATGTAATTAGTTTATTCTGTCATCCAGTATTAGATTTAAAAATGATAATATTGTCTTCTACTTCTCCCTTGGAAGTCAAAATAATAGATTATTAAATAGCTGGTAACCTTCAGTCCTCCACCACATGACTGCGTTACAAAGTAGGGAAGACATAGCCTGTTTCACACTGAAGGAGTTGCAGCTCAGGTACAGTCAGCAAGTGGTGAAACCAGGATTCCACTGGGTGTATCTGACACCAGCACCTGTCTGCTTTTTTATTGCCATGTTATCAACTCTGGAGCCAGACAAAACCAATCTGTTCCTGTAACCATCTTTGAATAGTTGGACACCTTAGTCGTCTATTGTTAAAGCAAATCTTTTCTAGTTATCTAAAATATTCTCTGAAAATTATGGTATATGCATGTTCTTACTTATAAGTGGGTGTTGAACAGTGAAAACACGCTAACACAGGGAGGGGAACACCACACACTAGGGCCTGGGGGATGGGGGATAGGGGAGGAATAGCAGGGGGTAGGGGATTGGGGAGAGATAGCCTTAGGAGAAATACCTACTGTAGATGATGGGGCGATGGATGCAGCAAACCACCACTTTGCACATGTATATCTATGTAACAATCCTGCATGATCTGCACATGTACCCCAGAACTTAAAGCATAATAAAGAAAAAAATTTACAGTATAAAGAATTGGCACTATTATTGTTACCCTCATCAATAAGAAACTTTTTGGAAAAACTAAAGACTGAAAGTAATTTGATTTAATAATAATAGCAGATTACACTTGTGTCTGGCTTCCTGTATTTCTAGTGCTATCCTAAACTCTGCATATATTATGTCAATTCCCATAAAAATCAAATGAGATAAATATTATCTTTTCCATCTTGATGAAATTGGTAGGTTAAGTAATTTGCCCAAAGTTACTCAGATAGTGGAAAATAATTATTTTGTGATGCAAATTAGTTTGAAATATATTTAGGCAAATCCATGTAAACATGATTAGTAAAAACAAAACCAAAACACCTTTAGTAAAAATTAATCTGTTCTCAGCCTTTTCAAACATAAGTGATTATAAATTTCAGATGAATACATGAATGAAAGTTTCAGTCTATCTTTGGAGATAAACAGATCCTCTGAGTCATCAATGTGTTCAAGATCTAGTAGAGCATTTAATCTCATAGGGACCGCAGTAGTTACAGAAATAAAAGGTAGTATATCACAGTTCAACCAGAAAAGCAGAACCATTAGGATGTCTACTTATCCCATCTCTATTGCTGTCTCTATCATCTCTATCTCATATGTGCATATTTATATTTACATATCCATCCATCTATCTGCATCTATTACAAATAACTGATTTATGCAATCATGACAGCTAAGTTAAAAGCAAGTCAAAGCTCTGCAGGGCAGGTGGTCGAGAAGGGAGGTCATGAGCAGGCTGGAATCCAAGGGTACAAAGCTGATATTTGTTGTCCACAGGCAAGAGTCTCCACCTAGGCAAGGCCTGAGCCCTCTTTGAAAGATCTTCCGAGTAAGTCTGGCTCACCTAGATTATCCAGGACAATTATCTTTTGATAAAATGAAAGTCAACTGATTAGACATTTTCATCACATCTTCAAAACCTGATCACAGGCAGTACATAGATTAGTGTTTGACTGAATAACCAGGAGACAGGATGTGCACGTTTCAAAATGGCTTCTATTGTCTTTTTTTTCCCCCTCCAACTCTGTAATGAATATCTCTTGCAGCTCATCTTACCTGAAAACAATCATGAAAGGGAATTTGGGAATTGTTGTTTAACTTAGCTAAGAGGACACATCAAAAGCCATTATAGGCAGTTGAGGTTGTCAGCATGATGGTCCGTATTTTCCACATTTTGTTGCCTAGTGAAACTATTTAAAGAATAATCTATACAAAACATGACCGATAAAAACTTAAGAGTGACAAGACAAAGGTATAAAGAAGATTATAATTATTATAACAACATTTGACATTGTTAAGTATAAATACTTAGATATGGTAGACATAAGTAATATAACAAATACTTAAGATATATTATAATGAAAACGATAGTTCATATCTTGCTTAAACTTTAGTTCTTTTAAATAGAAGATATTGGACTCTATGCTTTATGTATCAAATTCATATTAACTGAAAAGAAAATTGCAATTAATTAGCATGCTCTTTGAAACATTAAAATTTGATTAGTAAAATTTGGGGTGATGAGAGATTTATAAACGTGTTTTTGAAAAGAGAAAAGATACAGTAGATTAAGATAATTTTAATAAATACTGTTTATTGCCAGTCCAACTATGCACCAGGAACTTAACATTCATTATCACCAACCTTCATATACACCAAAAGGTCACTCCGCTGAGAAGTGGCTTATCTCAGATTTCACTCAGTTCCAACCCATTCTGTACTGTACATTACTTTAACTAGGCTATAATGCCTGTAAAAGTTACTTTTAGACATTCATATGGTTATGTGTTTTGTTTTGTTTTCTCCCTCTCACTTCTCTTAAGTTCTCAAGGCGAACTTAACACTGTCATATAGGATAGTCGATAGTTTATGCCTTTTTCCTAACTGTGGAACATAAAGAGATCTTTTACCTGGTCTAGGCCTCTTTGTCATTGGTGGATCAACAGGCAAAGAGCAGTTTGAGGGCAAGGGCTTTCTTCCAGGTGCCTTTGGATCCACTGTGTGTCTACGCCTAAGTCACCCCAACTCTTTTCCCGGGGACTTGATTTCGATACCAAGTAATTTGCTCATTTGCTCTCTTAAACTGTTTAAGAGATAGCTTGACATTCTTAATTGGCTAATTTATAAAATTACTAACTCCCAAGTTGAGTTATAACAATATTCTCACCCATAAATGCTACTCCAAGGAAATGGAAAAACCTGATTACCCTCCACTTAAAAAATAGCTCTATAAAATTATATATTATATTTAATTCAGCTTCACCAATGCCTGTATTGAGGAAATGTGGTCTTCTAGATTAGCTGACATTTCTTTTTTTTTATTTAAAAGAAACTGAAAGGGATTTAATTAACATTATATAAGTAGACTTTGGAAAGGGAATAAAATGGGCATATGATTTCATTTGGAGTATAAGAGAAGACAAGGAAATAAATAAATAAAACAACCCCAAAGTTAGAGTTGGAAATTTGTAGCAAATTAGTAGATGCCAGAAAACTTGTCACAGGATGACAAGTGACCTACAGTGGTAGGCACCAAGAGGAGAAGAAACCCTATAGGATATCCTGCCAGCATCCAGAGGTGCAAGAGGTTTATTTTACATATTGGAAAGACCACATGCTCCCTTCTTTGCTTAACTACCTCTAAGCAATCAGCAGCCAGATTTTATCTGATTTATGATTATGGGTCTTCTTATAGCCTTGAAATAATCAAGATTTTCAAGACCCAGGTTCTTTTCCCTGCCTTGTCACCCACTCCACTGTATCCTTTATCAGACAATTCCCTTTGTCGTTCCTTCGTTTTCTCATTTACAAGTGTGGAAACACAATGCATGCCATGTCCTCTTTCAGCATGATGCAGAGACCAATGGGAAAATATGTTTAAAGTCTGTTAGACTCCTTGGAAGCAAGGTACCACATATGCACAGCATTCTATCTTTATTCATTTCCAGTTTGAGGGGAAATGAGTTGAAGTGAACACAGCTGGGGCTTGGGTCAGAGTAGGAGTCGGGTTGAAACGATCATTTGTGAAACACTTACTTTGGTACAGATTATCTATTGAAGGAACATGACAATGAGACCCTGAACAATTTTCTTCCCTAAATGATTCTCTGTATTTGGTGATTTTCCCTGAAGCCCATTGACATCTTATAGATTCCTTATAGCATGTTAAGTTTGTGCTTTTTCTAATAACTTATAGAAACTTTCTTACAGAAAATGGAAAAAAAAGTGGCAAGATAAGGTATGCAAGATAGCTCTTATGAAAAATAATTGTGTGGTGGTTCCTCAAGGATCTAGAAATAGAAACATCATTTAACCCAGCAATCCCATTACTGGGTATATACCCAAATGATTATAAATCGTTCTATTATAAAGACACATGCACACGTATGTTCATCACAGCACTGTTTACGATAGCAGACTTGGAACGAACCCAAATGCCCATCACTGATAGACTAGATAAAGAAAATTTGGCACATATGCACTACGGAATACTATGCAGCCATAACAAGGATGAATTCATGCCCTTTGCACGGACATGGATGAAGCTGGAAACCATCATTCTCAGCAAACTGACACAAGAACAGAAAACCACATGTTCTCACTCATAAGTGTGTGTGGAACAATAAGAACACATGAACACAGGGAGGGGAACATGACACACTGAGGGCTGTTAGGGGGTGAAAGAGCTAGGGGAGGGACAGCAGGGGGTGGGGGGATTGGGGAGGCATAATGTTAGGAGAAATACCTAATGTAGAGGATGGGGAAATGGATGCAATAAACCACCATGCATGTGTATACCTATGTAACAATCCTGCACGATCTGCACGTGTACCCCAGAACTTAAAGTATAATAATTAAAAAAAAAAGGAAAACAATGGGGAAAAAAGTAGTTTCCATCAATCTGTTCTTTCAAGGAATAACAATCACATGCTAATGTCTGGGACTTTTGAAATTGTAGATGTACCTATTAACACCAAAACAATTCCATTTTTGAGAATAGAGCCTAGGTGATGTTTCTAAATGGATTATTGGTGTGACCAAAATCGAGAATTTATAAGGTGGCACCTCAGAATTGTCACCTTCAGCCCTAAGTACAGGGGTACATTTAGCAGACTTTAGAGCTGACGTTTTATTGAATGCTTACTGTGTTCCCACATTTACATGGATTATCTGGTTTAATATTCACAACAATTCCATGATTTCCTTCATTTCCAATAATAGGTTAAATAACTTGCCTGATTTTATACAACCATGAAGTAGAAGAGCCTGGATTGAAAGTTATCTGGCGTAAACCTTTGCCTATCATTGGTATACTGTTTCTGAGAAGGAATGCAAAAGCTGATCCTATATTCAGTGAGCATTTTCTTTTTCATATGTATATGTTACTAATTCCTCCACTAGGCTCCAGATTATTTCAAGGGCATTGAATGTGTCTTATTCATCTTTGTGGGAAACTCAATCTCAAGCCCAATGTCTGTACGTAGGAAGGATGTCTTAAACATCGCAAAAAGGGTATTGTTATCTCCTTGATGTAGGTGGGCATACTGAGGCTTTAAGATGCTAAGCAGTTGCCCACAGTTCTACTACAGCAAAGCCGCCTCCTGATTTCAGTCCCTGACTCTTCCCAGGATGCTGCAGCCTCTTCTACTATTTTCCCCCTTTCTGTTGCTGGTTTCTAATTTTAGTTTTTGATCATACCTTAAGCTCTTTGCAGGGGAATCAAGGAAGGCCCTCTGTTCATTGAATCAATAGACTTTTCTGGACTTCAATAGATAGAGCACTAAATAGGGATTTATTGAGTTACTACAAGGTACCAGGCATATTGCTAGATGAATTACTAACCTCACGTAATCAAATCTTATCAATTATCCCATGATGTGGTGACTATTGTCAAATTTTATGGATGAAAAAACTAAGTCTGAGAGAGGTTAAATTACTTGTCTAAGGTCAGGCAACTATTTAAACCCAGGTCAGCCTGATCCTGAAACCCAAATTCATTCAGCTATGCCAAAAACGGTGGCATAGTATATATCTCTCTCAAAGCTTTATTTTAATCTAATTCTATGATGAATGACTAAAACTATTTCTGTTTTCCTTAAAAAAGAGAATGAGATCTTATTGGACCCTTTTGTTGTTGTGAATGCTATTGTCAAAACAACACCTTGACTGAAATATTGTAATGTTATCATTACTTGCTAATGAACTGAACAGCAAAAATTATTTTGAGCTTGTAATAGGAACAGTGGTTATTCAGAGAAGGCCAGAATTCTTGGTTTGCATTCTTTTGCCTTCTGCCAGACTGCTATGAGCTTTCACCCAGAGGACACATCAGGTCTGTCGTAAGTCCCACCTTCTCACCAGCATCAGATAATGACTGGTGTTCATGTTTCCACTCAACAGGCCTTCCTATTGCAAATCACTGACATTCTTCCTTTCAATAGGAGCCAGTAACTCCAGTTTCTTTCTGCCCTCTGCCTCATCTTTCTTTTCATTTTATACAGAGAGATTTAACAACCACAGTTAAAGAGAAACCTCCTGTCAGGATATAAGTGGATGCCAACTCTGCTGCTGCTGCTGGCCGAGAGCTTAGGCCAGTGACAGTTGGGCTAGAATGAGATTCCAGGCACACCTGGGAGAGAAGCATGTTAGGGCACAGGGGTGATAATGACAAATTAAAATTACTGCTGCAGCAGAGTAGAGTAGCCCCTGGTTCATGGAAGATGTCATTAATGTTCTAAAAATAATCTAAAAGTATGCTTTGAAAATGTAATTTATTAAATACAACTCACATACTGAGAATTTATTTTTATGGTTGTCTTGCTGCAGAAGGAGGAGATGAGATGTCATGTTATCTGCCAGGTTGTGATAAACTTTCAAATTTTGAGCATTTGCTTCCTTGATTTTGGATGTGGACCATCGTATATTACATCTATGTGGATTTGGCATGTCAAACTATAAGTTAGAAAATAAAGAACCATTCTCAACTCTCGAAATGAATGCTCAAAGCCTCTTGTGCCAGGCTCCAGGATCCCCATATATTCACCAGAATTGGGGTAGGGCTGCGGTGGAGATGAGGAAATAGTCCTAAATCCTGTATCCCCTTATGACATAGCACTCAGAGCATACCTGCTGAGCCTGTGAAAAGCCGTAACTGTCCCCAGAACTGGCCAGGAACAGCCTCCTGGGTTGCTGGGTCTCCTGGCTTGGGATCTGTATTTGGGGCTACCCTACTGAAAGTCTAGTAGGACTTTTCTACTTGCTTAAGCTGGAGGGCTCTGGGATGAGAAGAAAAGCAATCCATCTTAGTTCTCCAGTGCTATATTTGGTCACACACCATGCCAAAACTGAACTGGGGTTTCTTACATAGTTAGAGTTTTTAAATCCTTCTTTCTATCCAGAATGAAGAAGTGTCTATTGAAACCAAGCCATGTTTTCTTGCCAATTCAATATTGCTAAAGCCACTTCATCTCTTCTTGCCCCAAACTTGTGTATTATAGGAAGTTTCTTCTCTCTTAGCTGTTCATCTGTAGAGATAGTCTATTTCCTAGTGCTTCACTCAGTCAAAAAATTTCATGCTAAGCCTGCCAGGTTTATACATATTTAGTTATTTTAATTCACTAGCACCAGCAACTCTTAGGAAGACTGACTCCAGACATGTGTTGGTGTCCAATTGCCTCCTCAATCCAGACATTTGGTGTGATAAGAAGGCAGCCTTTAGAATTAACTGGCTGGATTCAAATGTTACCCTGCCACTTACGAGTTCTTTGACTTTGGTCAAGTTACTTAAATTTTCTGAGCCCAATCTTCCAGTTTGAAAACAAAGACAATAATTTTCATCCCATAGATCTTGGTGGTGGAGGGCGTTAGTCACTGTTGGGTACCATTGGTAGTACTCTGAATAGCAAACTGAACCCTGGCAGCCTGGTCTCCACTCTGCCAGGCATGTGTAAGCTAAATAGCTGTTAAATTTTGCCTTCAACAGCTTAACTACACTGAGCTGGGCAGGTAAGGGAAAATGAGGTCAGCATACATACTAACCAGGAGAACTTGTCAGGCTCATAAAAAACCCTAGCTATATGTATTAGTCCACTTTTGTGTCACTATGCCTGAGACTGGGTAATTTAGAAAGAAAATAGGTTTAATTGGCTCAGGTTTCTGCAGGTTGTAAAGGAAGCATGGTCCCAGCACCTGCTCAGTTTCTGGTGTGGGTCCCAGGAAGCTCCAATCATGGTGGAGGGCAAAGGGAGAATGAGCATGTCATATGGCTAGGGTGAGAGCAAGAGAGAGAAGGGGTAGGTGAAACACTCTGACACAACCAGATCTTGGGTAAAGTCACCGAACAGGAACTCACTCATTACCGAGCAGATGGTGCTAGGCCATTCATGATGGATCCTCTAAACCCAAACACTTCCCATCAGGCCCCACCTCCAACATTGGGCATTACATTTCAACATGAGATTTGGAGGGGACAGATATTCAAACTGTATCACTATGTCTACTCAATAAATCAGTCCAACATACCATTCCAGGAAACGTGGGAGAAATTGCAGCTGCAAGGGGGATGTAGTACATAGGGGGATGAAGCTGAATAAATACTGTATTTTGACTATTACTAATGCTAGCTATTCTGCTTTATACACCCAGGGCTGTTGCAGCCTTTGAAGCCTCTATTGCATATTTACGCAGCTCAGCCTGTCCTCACTCATGTAATGTACAGCCATTAGTTCCATAGAGCTCCTTTAAGATGGAAGGATGAAACTGCTAAGCCAAACCATGTGATTTCCAGGAATCAACAGTACATAATAGGCTTTTCTGTTTAGTATTACTGCCTCCCTCTAACATTTTCATGTTCACAACTGTGATTGGTTCATATTGAAATTTAAGGAGAATGAAGAATCAGCAAATTCAAATAGACAAATAGATCTAGATGATCTAAATTCAAATTATATTTTGGACCATCTGTGAAATGTCTTTGACTTGTTTCTACAGCTGTAAAATAGACAAATTAGAATCTACTCTGTAATTTTAAGGAATATCAACAAAGGACTATAAAGTGCATTTAAAATGAATTTCTTGCCCACTTTAATTTCCAGGTTTCAGCACAAAGTTGATACAAATAAGGCATTACATGGTTTGTTTCATGAGTAAAATAATGTCATGTGGGGTATGTAGATTTTGGCTTATTCAGGGATTTCTAAGTGGAGCAGAAAGAACCATTAATTGGGAGTCAGAAAACCTGGATTCTAGTCCCAGAATGACCTCGTGCTAATTGGAGACTTCTTTTTCTAGCTTCATTTTTTTTATTTTCCAGTTGAAGGAGCTGATGCTCTCTAGTTTCCCTTCTGTTAATAACACTTTAATGATTTAATTTAATCAATTTTGTAGCAGGATTATAGTATCAACAGTTCTCTCCTGGGATCTAGTAAATGTCAAGTATTTGAGAAGGCAGGAAGGGAAGGAAAAAAGAAGGAGGGAGAAGAAGATGTGGAACAAGAGGAAACAGATGTGCAGAGGGAGAAAGAAAAGGAAGATTCCATTAAATGTCATGGGGCAGTGCCAGCCCAAGTGTAATTGTGAAATAAGTAGGGCTCGTCTTGATGCTTCTCACCACTTTTTTTTTTATTCATCTAGTTTCCAGTTTCCATGTTTCTTTAGAGGTCTAGATGAGCAAAGCCTAGCTGATGATCTAATCTTACCACCCTTCCAATATCTGCTCTGGCTCCAAAGTACAAAATAATCTCTCTCTCTCTCTCTCTCTCCTTTCTCAGTCTAACCACCAATGCATCTGAACTCAGCTGCAAATTGGGAGAAACATAATGAATTAACACCAAAGTAAGAATGATTTAATTTTCAACCTTTTTTCAGATAGTTATGTTTTTTTTAAAAATAGAGGGCTTGCAAATAGCATGTTAGGCAGAGAACAAAGTGAAGAGCTAAATCCAGGAGGTTTGGAGCAGAGTTACATGGCTACTACAGCAGCCTCCCAGGTCCCCTTAGATCCTGATCCCTATGGCCATTTCCCAGAAGCTCCTCTGGTTTTTCTCAGCTTCTTCCCAGCTTTTATATCTGAACACATAGGAGCTAGGATGTCAGAATCTTATTACAGCAGCTCCTGTGGACACAACAAATTTATCATAAACTAAATCAGCATATAAATAACCAAACATAACCAAACAGATGAATTAACAATGAACAGCTTCTCTGGCGATGACACTAGGAGCAGTGCCTATGGAAGTAAAGGGAGCAGAGTGCTTGGCTTCTTTGTAAATCAAGGAATACTTGGATGCATCAAACTGGGAGAAAGGAGGGCAACTAAAGTTACCTACAGTGGGGAGTAACAGAAGTGATTTCTTGGACCATCTCCTTTTGATCCAAAGCCTGTTTATTCTCAACTAGGTGTTAAACTTCAGAGTGAAAAACAAGGAACCAGAGTTTTCTTACTTTCTCATCCAGCTTTTGCTACAATTTCCAAATCCATCCCAGTAGGAGTGACTTAGGCTTAGAAGTGCTGTCCCTCTGCACATCTGCACATATGCTGTCCCTTTTCCCTCTGCACATCTGTTTCCTCCTCTTGTTCCACATCTTCTTTTCCCTCTTTCTTTTTTTAGGCTTCTTTCCAACCACAAAACATGGACCCCAGCTCCCAGACTACATTAGAGGGAAAATCTCTCCTTCCTTGCCCCACTGAACCAATGATGAATGCAGTAGCAGAGTTTGAGTGGAGACCAGGATTTTCTGGGACACTTGACTATTACCATAAGGCTTAGACCATGGACCTTGGTTACACCCGGAGAAGTGTATCTCTAACGATTCAGCTAAAAGCCAACAACTTGAGGGCTGTGTTTTTCCTCCAGAGCCTGAACAACCCCATCTGCTATTGCAGAGTGCAATGGCCTAAATGGGACACCATATCCTCTTGTCTCTGTGTGTGTTCCCAGGGATGTTATTCCGGAAGCCTCTGTGTGTATGCTGCCTGGTAATGTCCTTTGTCTATACATCAGGGTATGAAACAAATAGTTCAACATCTAGTTTACTACTCTTAAAATTTTTTAAACTCCGAAGAAAAATGTCCACTTACTGTTACAGAAAATCTCACATACAATTTCTAGAAGTTCAGGTCTGAAGATGGGTTCAGTGGATCCTTAGACAACAACCCCGATAGAGTGAGCCATCCTTGCTTGAGACAGGAAGTGCTAGAGGTGTCGGATGCCTCCATTGGAAGAACATGTGGTGCTGAAGCAGGCACAATCTAGAGGGGTTACAGATACAATGAACATTACATTGGCTTTCTTCCCATACCCTATCTGAAATAATCCCTCTCCCTTTTCTTACAATTCTGTATTCTTTCACTACTTATTTCTTCATCAGAACACTACTACATGATATGAAGGGTCTACAAAAAGTTGGGAAACCAGGGCTATATTTATATTTTAAAGCATGTTGGCTATATTGTGTAATATTCTCAGCATATTTTTCTCCAGTTCTTAAACACCTTTTCAGGTGGTCTTCCTCTAAATGTAAAGCAACAGACCCATTTGTTCATTTCAAAAATTATAATGAAGTATTTTTTCTCAATGTTTTTAGACTTTGGGGGGCAGTCTTTAGTATGTTTATTGTATTGCTAGATTTCTAGACTTTGGGGGACAGTCTTTAGTATGTTTATTGTATTGCTAGGAGAGATAAAAAGCACATTAGTATGAATGCATGTCTATTTGATGTCATCATTAACATTAGTTATTACCATCACAGATATGACTGGAATATATAATCTAAAGTTCCATTAAGTCTTATTCTTCTAGTCCCAGCAGGCTCGTGTATCAACTAACACAAAGGTCATTGTTCTCATTTTTGAAGAATAACATATTGTAAAAACACAACACTGATTATGCTGCTAGGTTTGGAAAGACATAGCAGGAACAAAATCTTCTGCTTCATGTGAAGGGAGGAGTAGGCTCTTTCCAATCCTGTCTCTGCACCGCTAGACCTGACTGAAGGTGAGAGGAACCAATCCAAATATCTCTGGTTAGAAAACATTGCTGTGAATGCACATCCAGCTGCCTGTGGAATCCCCAAGTTCCTCTCAGAGATGGTGGCCCAATATTCCATCTCAGCTGAGAAATGATTCAGTCAACAAACTGTCACATATCTTGCTATTATCCATGTGCTGGTAGAGTAACACATTGGCTAGGGAAGAACTCCTCTTCTTTCAGCTGTTAACTTTGAAACTAGAGACAAACTACTTAATGATTATATTAGGTATAAGGTTAATACACACCAAAAAAGATTCAGGCTAGTTTCTATTGCAAGATAGAAAAGAAGGAAAAGTACAGGAATACTTCTAGCTGGGGAGGAGTCAGGAAGGGCTTGCTAATACCTAACTGTGTAATAAACACACATAAGAGTATCTTTTTTTTTTTTTTAAGAACTGAAGGGGCCTTGGTCGTATGTGATGACCAAGTGAAACTGGGGGAGCCTTCGAGTAGCCTGAATCCTGCAGAAGGACATTCAATGTGTGGGCTTTGAGTTGTGATCTCAGTTATACTAACAGGATGGGGTGGTGGGTTGGCTAAGGGACAGTGACTCTTGGAGATGACAGGGTGGCCTGGGATGCCTCTGCCAAGAAAGGCTGCATAATTTCAGGAGGATACCTATTTAAGAGTATCTCAAATAGGAAACAAATGACCAAATACCTGCTGCAAGAGAAACCTTTAAATTGAATCTGAAAAGGAGAAAAATTTGAATATACAGTGATGGAGAAAAATACATTCTCCTTCCTGAGCAAAGGCATACTACAGATGATCCCCAGAGCTGTCAAGCACCATGTGCGTTTATTCACCAGTAAGCTGCTTGTTATTTCTGCTGTCCTGATTCTGGTTCAGACATCTCTCTCATAGGTTGTCCCTAGCTTGGCAATGGCAGCAGAGACCAAGGGTAATTCTTCATTAATGCAATATGATGCTTCTAACTACTTTACTGATAAATGCTGAAAAAAAAAAAAAAACAGATTGCTGAAGGCTCTACACTATCACAGAAGCACAGCTCAGAATACTATTTAGTGTAACATTTAGTTCTGGAGAAAATCTTGGAAACTTTGCAGTCAGTTAGGGAACTCAGCCACAACTAAAGTTGATCTGCTTTCAAGTGCTGGAATAAAGTAAATAATGATTGAACTAGGCAGATGGAGAGGACAGCTCTTTGAAAAATGACTCTGTGATGGTTGAATAAAAGCCAGTTTTCAGCCATTGGCGCTAAAGTTCAAAGGTGATTTCACAGGAAGAGCTCATACATATCAGTTCAGGGAGCTCAGTTTCTAGAAATTATACTTTGAACACAAGAAGAAACAGAATGGGTTTCTGGTGGTGTAAGAAACTGAAAATTAATCCAGATTTTTGCTCTCTATGTTGTTTGAAATTCAGTATTACTCTATTAAATGTGCTTGTGCTTTTAAACCTTTCCAATCCCCCAATTTCTTTATAAATATATTTCAAGTGTACTTTCAGATAAATGTAAACTTTTATATGAATTCATAAATTTAATTACTGTACATATCCTTTTTAAGGTATAGTTTTTTGTTTTTCCTTCCCTCTGGAATCCTTGTGAACACCTACTATGTGTTATTCCATATTATCAGTAAGCTCATGTTATCATACTTTACATATGTGCAAGTACACGTGTACAGGAAGTTTTAAGTAGTTTGTTGTACATAAAAACCAGTATCATACTGTTACCCTTCTTTATGCTATGTTTCCACTCACTTTTTTTTTTTAAGGCAGAGTTTCACTCTCCTTGCCCAAACTGGAGTGCAACGGTGCGATCTCTGCTCACTGCAATCTCCTGCTCTCAGGTTCAACTGATTCTCTTGCCTCAGTCTCCCAAGTAGCAAGAATTACAGGTATGCACCACCACACCTGGCTAATTTTGTATTTTTAATAGACACAGGGTTTCTTCATGTTGATCAGGCAGGTCTCAAACTTCTGACCTCAGGTAATCCACCCGCCTCAGCCCCCCACAAAGAGCTGGGATTACAGGTGTGAGCCACTATGTCTGGCCTCCACTCACCATTTCTTTGTGGAAGTCACTCCAAGACAAATGGTTTACCTCTCAATCATTCTTTTTAATGACTGCATTATGTCTTATGGTGTGGATATACAGTTCTAGATAATGAGACTCTGCTTTATTATTTGAGAGAAAGTTTTTAAATGCCACCAAAATAATTATATTTCAAATGCCAACAAGATAGGCTTATAAAAGCATGTTTTCACATCAACCGTAAATACTAAAAACCTAATTACACCTGAGGACATTACATGAAGAAGCCTGAGACTTCACTGCTCAGACTCTTCCATGTAGTAACTGAAGCCTTCGACATCACCATCTGGGAGGGTGAACGAAAGATAAAGACTCTCATTTAAATTAGCATTCCCAATGAAACTGGATTTCTGCTGGCTTCCATTACTTGCTTATTCAATAAGAAAATTCTGTGTACTTGGCATTTACTCTTTCATACTGACAATTTTTGCCTCCAGTCTACTTCTAACATTCTGTTTCCCTCATCTCTCCTTCTGTTTCATTCAAAGTGCAAAACCTCTTTTTGTCCCCTCTGTCTAAGTTGGTTTGGGCTGCTATGACAAGTTGTTACAGACTGTGGTGGCATAAACAACAAACATTTATTTCTCACTGGTTTGAAGGCTGGGAAGTCCAAGATCAAGGTGTCTACAGATCCAGCATTTGTTAAGGGCTTGTTTCATGGTTTGCAGATGGCTGTTTTCTGGTTGCATTCTCACATGGCAGAGAGCAGAGAGCCAAAGCAAGGTCTTGTGCTTCTTCTCATAAGAGCACTGATCACACATGAGGGCTCCACCCTTAAGACCTGATTATCTTCCAAAGGCCACCTCAAAATATCATCACATTGGGGATTCAGCTGCAACATATGAATATTAGGGGGACATAAACTTTTAATCCCTAGCACCTTTCTCCTATATTTCCATGTACTTTCAATTGTTTTCCATCACTGAACTAATCCTCTCTCTGTACCACACTTCCTGAGTGTTCGTTTTAACCCCAATGCTTCCCGAATGTTCCCTGTCCCCTCAGCTCACTTTCTCTGGCTCCTACTCCTCACCACAGGTTCCAACAGAAACTACTTCTCTGAGTTTTATGCAGTTATTAAGTTTGAATGTAAGGGTAGAAATTTACTTGCTTTTCTTTTTTATAAGTTTATCAAGTCCCTGCATGCACTATCTATATTGTCTTACTAATCTGTGTGAACCCAGACCCAGCACAGTTTATGAGGCTGTCTGTGTGGTGAATGCTTGGGAGATGGTTGTTGGGCAGATGTGGTTATGTATAGGAAAGTTATTCTGCTGACTCACACAGTCAGTCCTGTCTGACCTGTTCGCTCCACATGTGCCTTTTTGTTTTCTTTTTTGAGACAGGACCTCACTTTGTCACCCAGGCTGATGTGCATGATCATGGCTCACTGAATTGCAGCCTCAACCTCCCAGGCTCAAGTGGTCCTCCCACTTCAGCCTCCCAAATAGCTGCAACAGCAGGTACATGCCATTACACACAGCTAATTTTTTAATTTTTTTTTTTTTTGGTAGAGAATGAATCCCACTGTGTTGCCCAGGCTACTCTTGAACTCTTGAGCCATGTGTATTTCAGTCACCAGCTACCCAGGAAATACCTCCATGTTTGTTTCTTCTTTCCCTTCCCTTTCTCATTCCAACACCTAAAGTTCACTCCATATTATGTCTCTCCTGGACCACTGTACAAAGGTTTTCTAAATGGTAATCCTGTTTCTTTTACTGCATATATATTAAGTGGAAACTTCCAAATTCTTATTTATTTATTTGAGACAGAGTTTCACTCTTGTTACCCAGGCCGGAGTCCAGTGGTGCAATTTCAGCTCACCGCAACCTCCGCCTCCTGGGTTCAGGCAATTCTCCTGCCTCAGCCCCCTGAGTAGCTGGGATTACAGGCATGCACCATCATGCCCAGCTAATTTTTTGTATTTTTAGTAGAGACAGGGTTTCACCATGTTGACCAGGATGGTCTCGATCTCTTGACCTCGTGATCCACCCACCTCGGCCTCCCAAAGTGCTAGGATTACAGGCTTGAGCCACCGCGCCTGGCCCCCAAATTCTTAGCTCTGATTTTGTCAGTTCCCTGGTCAAAAACCAGTGTTTTCAGCCAACTCGATAAAATCAAATCTTTAGAAGTATGATTTGATAAAGCCTTGGTCTGATA